GAAAAGTAGTCTGGTCTGCCTCTGTCATAGAAAATAAAATTTCCTGACATAAAGTAGGCAAAGGAAGGTTTCATGACGATTTTGGGTAATAGCATTGAATAAGCACTTATTCAGTGGTAGGTTATAGTTATTTACATAAAAGTCAGGAAAATGTCACATTGCTGGCGAGGAAATTCTGAAGTACGTGGCCCCTTTGGGACCGACTACTTTAATTTCCGAGTCATGTAATGTCATTTTCAGAGAAGCCCGTGGAAATTTTAGATCACGTCTAATATCAATTTTAATTACGTAGGTGATCTACATACTTGGTCAGTAAAACTACTCTTTTCACCAAGACAATTACAATTACACATGATCGATACGTCTCTGTCTTTCAGGGCCAAGTTTGAATAAAAATGTTGTAGTTCACTCTATAACAAACTGGCAAGTGGAATATATGCGACATTACTACCTGATGCATGCTGGAATATAGATACAACCTCGGGTACAACTCTTTCCTCGTTCCTAAAAAAACTAGTCTGTAAGTCTATCTAAGTATAACACTCACAATATCATTAAAAAATTCCTAGTACATTTACACAAGGGACTTCGTTCCGGAGTAAAATCCACTTTAAAAATTTTTCCCCAAAGAATATCTGCTGCATTCGTGGAATATTCAGCTTAAAATAAAAACCATTTTGCAAAATTTCGAGTTTTCCGAAAATTCTCGGAATTTTTTCAGTTGCAAAACGGCATTTTGTTAAGCATCAAAATACACAACTTTGCCAAACTTAAACTACCGTTTTGTCTTCAAGGTTTAATAAGAAACGTACACGTTCATTTGTTTTATTTTGATGTAGGATATCTAGATTAATATTATTGACGTAATTACTTAATAAGAGTTTTTGGAAAATTTTCTTGTGTATAAGGATAACATGTTACGTCATCCAAAAGCGAAAAAGATCTCTATCAAATGAGCCTAATGTAAGGGGACAATGCTATCTAAAGAATTCAATTGTTTTTCGTTACTTATTTGTTTTCTGAAATTAAAACAACTGATTATGCTGCTTTCTTATGCAAAAATTTTTGCATATAGTGGCTATTTACCGAGATATAAAGTGTATTCCACACATAATGGACACCCTGTATCTAAAACAACGTCGTATATTGTACACTACTTATATCTCAAGAACGACTGGACCGATTTTCATGATCTGTGAGTTGTTGGACCCCGAATAACAGAATAACTAAAATTTCGAAATTGGTAAATAAGAGACCACAAACAACAACCGTCAAATCAAATGTTTTCAATCTTACCAAACCGTCCAATGAATAAATTGCGTGACCACAATCTCAAGATGGCCGTCGTTTTTCTGTTTAATTTGTGTTACCTACGAATTAGACACTTAACACGCAAGTCTTTAAAGGATTTAAAATGTGCACAGTGCAACAAACAACAATACTTCCAAATATTAATGTAATAATATTATATAATAAGTGTGCACAATGTGATTGAAACAAATCACCAAAATGTGTTCAAACGACATGTCTTAATACACAAGACCTTCAACGATTTAAATTGTACCCAATGCGTACACAACGAGGTATAAAGCGAAGTTAAGTAGGGAAAAGTAAACTCAAAATACTTTCAAATGTTTCAAATGTGCACAGTGTGATTTTGAAACATCTCTTAAATCACAAAACCTCAAAGGATTTAAAATGTGCACACTGTAATGGCATTATAGATATACATATATAGTACAAAGTTGTGTTAGTTACACCACTTATAAGTAGAACTTATGAACGGCTGGACCGAATTTCATTCATCTACGACCCGAATAGCTACGCCACGTTCACGTGTCAAACTTTCAACTCGAGTTGAAAAACTCCACTTTCTTCTCTAGTGCAAATAACTATTGTTTTGCAAGTGATACAATCAAACTGCAAATTCATGAAAAAAGGCACTTTCAAGATGTGTTGTACAAGATTTTTTTTGCATAGTGATCCTTAATAATCGGTAATTGAATAATAATATAATATCAATGACATTCGCGATTTACTGTCACTCAAAAATGGATGCTATTGTTAATAGAAGTCATGGAAACGCATAGTAAAAATCGTGAAAAAAAGTATCACTTTCCCTATACGATTTTTTGACAAAAAAAGTTCGGTAAATAGAACTATGCAAAAAAAGATAAATGCATTTACTCAACTCAGCAGAGTTGGACAATAGGTTAGTTGTCTTCCCATTCTTTGTTTAAATGCACGCTTATACAAAAACAAAAGAGTACATATGTATATGCAATGCATATACCCAATGATCCGCTTAGGTTTAGACCATTTAGATAATATACAGGCTGATTCAAATTCGAGGGCCACCATGGGATCTCGGAAACTGTAAGAGATGGGTAGGTGGTTTAAATTTGGCGAAGTTGCGTATTTTGATGCTTAATAAAATGCCGTTTTGAAACTGAAAAGATTCCGACTACCTTCGGATATCCGAAAAAAAACGAAATTTGAAAATAAATGGCACATTATTATGGCCACTTTTTTTCCCTCTACAAGATGCTAGTTTTAAATTTTAAGTCTGACGTTTCGTCTCCGGTTAACCATCATCAACTTTGTTTTTTCTTATGGAAGTCATTTTTACTTTTTGTGTCATTCGATAGAACATTTTTTTCCAATTTCAATGTATATTGTGACTTTCCCAAGTGGGAGGGCAAGGGAAGGTAAGATGAAAAATGTAATGTGTCGTCAATCGCACACATACGTAAACTCTTAATACCAGTTCTTATTACTTTCCTCCATACAGCGTTGAAGGTTGAACCATCAACACTTTTATTAATTTAATTAGCTCATAAAATCTACATGTCCAGTCAATTTTATTATATTTGAAATTCCTTGCATTTCTGGTTTTGTTACCCTTGCTGTCCGTTTCGTTGTCTTAGCCTTGTAGCATTTAGGCACCCGTTTATGAAGTATTAGTGGTGATTTAATCCATCCCCTAACACTATATTGTATTAAATATTATTAGAAATAATTTAAAAATACGAGTACACGAGTCCAAAAAAATAAAGTTGACAGGAATTATGTGATGACGTCAGTAATTTTAAATGTCACCGTTGCGATCTTTAAGCTCGACTTTGCAATCGCAATCGTTTTTTGAGATTAGAATTGTGGATTGTTGGTTACATTTGGTTTTTTTCAAAATAATGATAAAATACCGAAATGGTCGCAATGTTGGGGAGAAAGAAGTGCGGGAAGTTTGAGCATCGCCATAAATAGATCTACCGTGCTCCATATAGGGACTCGAAATCAGGCTTTCTTCGTCTGTCCCCGTTACAATTACACTTGAACTGCAAATGCTTTTTATTATGACTACCCATTTTTGTATTTCGTTTAGTTTATAACTGTGATTTGCATTTTGCTTTTACTACTACAAATGTCTTTATTGAATGATATTCGAAATTGTGGTGACAAAATTGCCCTTTAGCTAAACTAAAATCATTTACGATTATTTCCTTAACGTTGCCCTTCCTTTTTTCTTCGAGTGAAGTGCATAATAAAGAAAATATAGGAGATCCTATGTGTCTTTTTAAATGGGCCACATTAAAGCAAGGTTTAGATAACAAATTTCACTCATGATGCTTATTGTATTCTTTCAATTAAACATGAGTACATATGCAAAATAAACAATAATAATGAAGCATTATTAAACACATAAACAAAAAATTAATTACAAACATCTGTGATGAAAATCGTAAAATTTAATCTTAAACATGCTACTTAAACAATCACCCAGTTTATTATATACCAATTCACTATTAACATTCTGGCATTTACGAATAATATTGCACCACATACGTTAAACTCTTAAATAAAATTTTGAATGTCATTGCATTTTACAAACAGTGAAACAAAAAACCAAGAAAACACAATACAACTTTAATAAACCGTACGCGTTACTGCACTAACCCTGTGATCGTCGACAAACGGCAGTGTGTTCGTTGATAATGACTGTTTTGCTACCGAAACGCGTGCGGTTTAGTTTAGTTTTATTGCGGTTTCTTGGTGATAATTTCAATCTTTGTTACCAGAACGACCACAATGGTTCGAGTAAGAGTTCCATAAAAGTTTCCAAATTCCTATTGACCCGTACCTATACCTACATTCTTTTAAAACAATCTCTCCGTGCTCATAGATAGAGATTAATTAAAATTGATTGAACTCCCCCTTTTAAGGTACGGATTAGTTGTCATTTACTGAATCGAAACATTTGCAAGATTTTTCTAAGTGAGTCTTGCACTGCGATGATAAGGTTATCCCACAAATTTCCTCTTTAATGGCCGTTTGCGCCCATAAATTGAATCTTGCTTTAACTTAATCATTGCCATGGATCTTATGGTCCAGTTTGTACGAGACAAAGGTTTTAGTAATTTATGACTACGAATTTATGAAAATATTTCCACCCGTTCATCTCCGTAGCGTCTAAGCCGAACCCGTGCACGATGGAAAACAAACTAGGAATGATAAAAGAAATTGCCTGAAACTTTTTGTCTAAAATTCTACTACTAAAAAAAGGGCGTGGTACAAAATACACAAGTTATTCAAAATATTGGGACTTTACGGAATGTCGTGTCGAAAACTTGATGTGGCCACGGTGTCTCCGTCTATAAATCAGAACATAGTTAAATTTTCGTACGAAACACTGGTCATTAATTACAGAGTTGCAATCTTCATATTCCCTTATTATGGTCATTAAAATTGGTGACAAAAGTGAGATTTTGCCAAAGATTTCACTTGTGTAAAAAAGAATCTTCCACAAGTGATCTTCTGATCAAACCACCTTAGAGAAGTTATTTGTCTACCTGTGTTACACTGGTGGTGATTATGTAAAACCACATACAATTAAAATTATAACTTTGGAACACAAAAAAGAGACAAACGTGCATTTTGGTCGGATGCAAGATGCAACGAACTAAGAAAAAACTACCGAGAAAAACTAAAAACACATATCTTACCATCTCGTATCCAACAAGTTTCTCTGGATTACTCTGCGGGTTGTCGAAGTAGTTGATCTCGGTGAAGCGATTGACAATAAGCGTGTTAGGGGCGGCCAGATGATTACAATAGAGTTGTGGGGCGCATTGGCCGCAAGAGCAGGGAACGTTCGTCGGTGGATAAACAGGTGGGGCTACGTCGGGACAGGGAATAGGACACAAGGGCACTACGTAAGGGAGTTGGGTGGGCGCGCTCAGATAAAACGTCGTGATGGCTTCGAGGAACCAACCCACAAAGAAAACCACCCGAATTTGTTGTATATATCCACAAGGCAGACCAGTTTATTATCTTTTCTTACTATATTACTATTTATATATCCGATTGTCTTTTCTAATTGATACGTTTAACGTAATGATTGTTTTGGTATCTTTTACAATATTGCACGATTGTCTCCGTAAACGAAAGGCTTAATATTACTTAGATATTAGTCCCTATATATTTTTATTTAATTGGAATGAAGCGACCAACTTGAGATCACCACAGCAATACAACGCCTTAAAAAAGATTATCAACAGTTTTCGTAAATTAAATTAATTAGCTACGTTTAAACAACAATTAAGCTAATATAGATATGTATTTTAGTTTTATTAGTTTTTATTACGCTACCAAATATATATCAGTTTTATGACTATTTATTATTGTTAAATATTTAGGGAGTGATATTAACTAGAATAAATAAATATTTGCAATTGGAATTAGCGTGACGAAATAATTAATACTGGTTTCTTTGCTCGATGCCAAAATGAAAATTTGACTAGGCCTTTATACGTACTTTGTATGGGAAAATGATTGTCTAAAAGATATGTTTAATTAATTGAAACGCGTAGGAAGATGATATGATGAATCCTAATAATATAATACTTTAAAAACTATTTTGAGATGATTGTCGAAGGACATGCAGTTCACGTTCGAGCTTTGCTTAGATATCGCTAAGTTTATACATCAATTTTAAAACCTACTAATATTGACTTGATTGCGAGTATTGACACGGTGTTTTGGAGCTTTTTGAAAAAGCTACCGTGTCGAAATATTGCACTTGGCCCTTCAACGAAAGCTCGGTGATAATTTTCAGGACGGCGTTGAGGTCAACAAACCTCAAAGAACTACTACACAGTAAATCTAAATAGCCTATCACGCGAATATATTTACTTCCTAATTATCAGTGATTGTCGTTAATTCTTGGACAAGACGCGTCGTCTTTGCCGTCAAAAATGCAGAAACAAATTGAGCAAAACACTGAATACTTTTTTTTTATAATAAAAATATAAATTCGATTTGTACTCAAAGGAACAACGTCAACGGGAATAACAATTATACAATAAATTTGATATTTACTTTGTCAATAACCATCAACTTCTCTTAACATTAAAACGTACGATCTCCCTTATCGTTAAGTATACGGACCGTTTTTTAAACACTATTTTTACCTTCCTGCAGGTAAATCGCCGACAATAACAACACTTAACTGAAAGACACTCTAACGAGTACAAGAAATTTTTTATAAAGTTGGGTCGTAAGAATGAAAAGCAATAAATGTTTAAGACTTGACAGCAGTAAACGACAGACGCGCTTGTAAGTATAACAACACTCGGGTAGCAGCTCCCGGAAGGATAATGCAAGGATGTCTAGTGAAGGACCGGTGACAGAGTGAGTAGTTCGTAGGAAATGTAGAGGTGTGGACCGCCGCACTCGTTGGCTTTCTCGCCCGGACTATGAGGCTCCGGACTCCGGTTGCGGCAAAGGACCTTCTGCGGACCTGCGCGAGGAGTCTGGGTCCCCTCCGGTGGGGAACACAACATCGTCGATACAACCTGATGCATGCAGCAGGCTTGTACCTTCGCGGAAATACCTATTTCGCGTAATCTAAGCCTATTCACTCGATTCTATTACCTTCTAAGCATGACGGCGGGCTTTAAGAGCGTTGCACTCTTTAATTGTGCTATGGTTAAGGCCAAGCACCTCGACCTCGCAATTTATTACGATATACCAGTTCTTTTTTTGAATCATCATCCGCTACCACTCCACAATTATTAAAATTACCCTACAACTTATTTTTGGAGCTCGTGCCGCTCTTCTATTTTAAGTTTTAATCCAAACAATCGCGATTTCGATGGAAAGGAAGAAAAAACTGTGCCACTTAAACAACGTGGAGAGATTGAATCGCAAACCTCAACTACTGCAGTTTCCAAGTATGCGAACAAGAGGAATCCAAAATAAACACAAATCCACTAGAAAGCAAAATGACTTCATTTCATCTTAACCGCACGTGCTATGAAATAGGAGATATCTATTTCATTTACCTTTGTCCTGGAGAGTAAGACAAGACCTAGTGGCCCTTAATGAAAATAATGGAAAGGGAATAGGAGGCATCCTCCATTAGTGAAATTAAAGATGAGCGCAAATGAAATAAGAAACATAACGACAAATTAGTCTCAAATGAACGATTTCGTAAAAAAATTGTTACGTTGCCCTAATTAACCAAAATATCAAAAATAACCTACTCACCTAAAAATCAATCTTCACAGATAGAAGGTATGTACTTAAAATGTTTGTGTAAGCAAGGGACCATTACATTATTTTGATATGCATTCGGAAAAAAGCATTACGTGATAAGCCAACTTAATCCACTTCTAGCAAAAACATTTGACAACATATACAGGGTGTAACAAGTAAGAAAGTAAAAACAAGTGAAAACGATTTACGTAAGCGCATTTCAATCACGTATTATTTCCATTGGACAATTGTAAGTAAATGGCATTTCCGAAGTTCAGTTCTTGGCATCAGGATAAAGTGTTTCAAAATCCAAATGCACTTCATCATTGGAAATCCATACAATTTATATCTAGGTTATCAAACTACAGCGTTTCCACGTTTTTTGAAGCGTAAAGCACGATTTTTACACCTATTGGTCAAAATACACGCGATCACTGAATATTCATGAATTCACTTCTTGGACATCAAGCTAAATCGTTTGCACGTGCCCCGAACGAGGTCTGGGCAAAGCAAATTCTTCTTGAGCGTCGAAAGAACGTGATTTGGTGTTTTCCAAAAATACATCTCATATATAAAATCCGAAATTAATTTTTTTATATCTACCTCTTTCTCCATCGAGGACCGTCGAAAATTGAAAGGAGGGAGCCCACCTCCTGACCCATATGACCTACTAGCCAACCCAACCCGGTCTATCGACCGCATTACAATTACTCTGGAGCGATGTAAATAAATGAACCTACGTTTAGTCTTAGCTATTTATTGGCTCCTCAGGCTGCGCAGTTGTTATACAGGCCGATTCAAATTCGTGGGTCACCATGGGAATCTCGGAAACTAAAGAGATAGGTAGTTTAAATTTAGAAAAATTGTATATTTTGATGATTAACAAAATGATCTATCAAATGACATAAAAAGTAATGTCTTCCATAAGCAAAAGCAAAGTTGATGATGGTTAACCGGAGACGAAACGTCAGACTTAATTAAATTCAGCTTCAAAGCGGCATCAAAATACGCAACTTTGCCCAATTTAAACTACCAACCTATTTTTACGTTTCCGAGATCCCCATGGTGGCCCTCGAATTTGAATCAGCCTGTATAATAATGTAGCAGTTAAACGAGGCACTCTACGATAAAGGCAAATAAATAAAACACGGAAAATAGCGCATTTTTTTCAAATTCGATTGAAATCCGCTAAAAAAAGACCGATAGAGGGTACTACAACATTTATTCCAAGACTAAAATATTCCGCTTAGCAAAGCTTCGTTCTCAACTTTCCAAAATTTCTTTTAATTATTTTTTCTCTGCAAACTGTAACCGTAATGAGGTGGTAGGAAGTGTCAAAAATGCCAACTTGCACTCGAAAAATACACGGTACTGGCTAATTGTAATTAATTTAACTCTTTTTGGATTCGCGATTCAGATTAACAGTGAGACTTCTGGTGGCAGCACATTGTCATTATTATTGGTGGTATAAGACCGCTATTTTGTTTATTTAAAATAGTCAAAAGTAATCAATTTGTAGTTTTTATGTCTGTAAAAGTAAATGCATTTGCAAAAATTTCATTTGCAATCAATGTAGTTACACCTTAAAAAGCAAGGCTAGTTTAAAATGTCCATTTTATCACCTTACTTTCAAGAATTTTAAATGTGATCAGTGCAATAAAGTACGACACATAGAAGAATACCTATTGTTTAAATTGTGGTCAGTGTAATTATGCCACGAATAGTAAGGCTGTTTTAAAGCATTATCAACGTAAGGGAATGTCGGCGAGTTGTTGTAAAGTTGTGCGAGTGCGCTATAAATTGAATGATAAACTGTGATCTTTATTTGTAATTACAAAATTAAGTTAATTGCAAGTTGAAGATAATTCAAAAACGGCACGATAAACTCTGATTTTCTACGAATAAGTATGGTACCAACGTAATGACAATTAAATACGTACTAATTAGTGGTTGAGGTTTTATATTTAGAAATTTAGTGATACTTCTTTAGAAGTTAATGACGGGTCAGTAAGTAATCGTTTATCAAACTTTCGTTTCAATTTATTGAATTAGAGTGGTTGGGTTTTACGTGTAAACACAAAGCAAGTACTGCGTTTCTATTTGTATCCAAGTGGTTTGTTTTTTTTTTTGTTATAAAATAATATAAATTCCTAGAATTGTTAAATATAGGACAATTTATCGCTTATTCTCTGATATGTATTTGGGAAATTGTTATCTCATAGCAGACTTGCACCAGTCGCGTAATGCAAGTCAAAGAGCTCACGCGTTTGTATAATGTAATAGTTTTGCAATAAATGTATTTCAGTATCCTTCCGTTATATGTGTATATATCCAGGATATCTAAATACAAAACAGTGGCGACGAGGATGGTTATCAATTTTGATTTGGTGAATCGTTTAAGTGACAGTTCTGATTTAATTTATGAGCACTTTTCGAGTATTTTTGTAAAAGGTTGATATAATTTATTAGCGCTAAGAATGCACTTTATCAGCAAAAAAGACAATTCCGCTTTTCCGCTTCAAGAAACGGAATTCTGATTAATTGCAATGTTGCTACGTTCCGTGTTAATTGGATGAAAAGTAGGAAATAATTAAACACGGAAGATGGTATAAGAAAGAAGCTTTTTGTAAATTTCGAGGCCGAGTTGCTGTTCGTTGAAAGCTTAAACGACGCGCGTCCTGCGTTAAGTTTCGTATTGTTCGTCAAGTAAAATTCTTTACGTTACTTTTAGTTTGGAAATTGTAACGAGTGGTTTTATTTCGCGCCAAATTTCAT